TTCAGAACCAGACGTAGAAAGTATGATTTTAACTTTCAAAAGTCCGATTTTTCAAATCAAAATTTTTATTTATTTCCAACCCCTTTATTTATCTAGAAATCCTCCCTCTTTTATATTATATTTTTATTAAGTCCCTCTCTCTTTTATATTATATTTTTATTATTTATCATATTTTTTGAAGTTTAAAGCATTACCAAATTAATTTTTTGTCATTGACAGAATTCGAACCCAATACCTTAGTGTTGGAGGCTGATACTTCAACCACTAAACTACTCAAATTTTTTGATAGTAACTTACAAATAAATTATATTTATATACAAATAAATATATATTCGTGTAAATATATAAATACAAATATATTTTGATATATTTATATAATTATATATTTATATGTTGGATGTGAGGGCACGCTCGAAGGTGAAAGTGTGTGTCGAGTGAGTTTTCAAAATTTGATGCCAAATTTGTGAGCGGGTCTCTTTATATGGGTTTGTAATTTAATGACGAGAATATAATATTTATAATTTATTTATATAATGATATAAAATAAATTTGGGAACGCATCATTCGCTCAAGTGACACATTCGCTCAAGCGAAAAATACCAATTTTCGCTAAAACGAGGCTTGAGCGAGTGAATTTCCGTGAGCTTTAACGTATTTTCACTCAAGCGAGAGTCAATCTCACTTTAACCCTCGAACGCGCCCTCACATCCAACATATAAATATATAAATATATAACTATATAAATATATTAAAATATATAAATATATTTGTATTTATATATTCTATATTTATATATTTACACGGATATATATTTATTTGTATATAATATAATTTATTTGTAAATTATTAAAAAATTATAGTAGTTTAGTGGTTGAAGTATCAATTTTCAACTCTAAAATACTAGATTCGAATCCTATCGGTGATAATTCTCTAACTTAAGTGAATTTTTGATTGAAAAAAATAAAAACATTTTCCAAAAAATATATATAAATAAATATATATTTACACGAATATATATTTATTTGTATATAAATATAATTTATTTGTAAATTATTATCGAGAAAATTCCAATAGTTTTCGAGTGACAATTCTCTAACTTAATGAATTTTGAGATTAAAAAAAAAATAAAAACATTTTCCGGAAAATATATATAAATAAATATATATTTACACGAATATATATTTGTATATAAAATACTAGGTTCGAATCTTGTCGGTGATAATTCTCTAACTTAAGAGAATTTTTGGGTGAAAACACATTCAACGTCGGTTCATCCGGAACCGACGTGGAAAGTACTTTCTACGTCGGTTGACTAAAAGCCGACGTTAAATGACGACGTTGAAAGCATATTTTGTAGTAGTGTATGAAAGGATCCTATATTAAGAGTATTGTCGAACCATTCACACCGAAAGAGAACTAAATTCATCAATGGCAAGTCAATATACTCTAATTAAATAATATTAAACAATAATCCATAAAAATATGACTCTAATTGACCATTGGTTCCTTGTACATAAATACCACAGTTACAGGAATTCATGCCTTCACTCCACACAATAGTGTGAAATTTGTATCCATTGATAACATACATAGGCCATGATTCAACTTTTCTCTTGGGACCCCATGCCAAATTAACCAATAATGGATCTTCAATATTATTTTCTGGATTTAGAACCTAAAGACAACAAAGTCCTTTACACATTAGATTATGTAAGTCAAATATATATTTGTAAGACGTATAAGTCAAAAACTTACATATTTTTTAAACCATTTAGAAAAATGGGATGAAATGTCTTGATCAATTTAAGCACCAGAAATAGTAGGATTTAATTGTCTTAAATATTCAATATAAATACTGCAAACAAGTAACAAATTACTCAAACCACACAAAGTAACATGAATAATTTTGATGTGATGGGAGTGAAAACATCTTACTCAAAATATGGTTGAACCTCTTCACAATTTTGAAGAACATATAATTAGGCAACATCATAGTCTCTTTGGTGCAGAAAATATGTTTGGGATTTTCCAATTGATCTTCCTTGGTAGTTGAAAATTGAAATAGGAGGAGGGGATGAAGAGCCTTCACTTACATCAACATTTCTAGGAATCCTAGTCTTTCTTGTTTCAACATGATCAGGATAATAAAATAAGGCAAATGTAGATGTTTCTTCCACCAAGTAAGTTTCACAAATAGAGTCATCCACCCTAGCTTTATTCTTCACTTTCTTTTCTAGGGAGTGTAAGAATCTAAAAAAGAATACAAAAATGGAGTCTTTCAAGAACATAAAAATACTTTAGAAATGGAGGATGAGTAATTAGTGTAAACATACCTCTCAAAAGGATACATCCAACGATATTAAACTGGACCACCAACCTTTACCTCATAAGGTAGATGAATTGGAAGATGTTCCATTGAATCAAAGAAGCTTGGTGGGAATATTTGTTCCAATTTACACAATAAGACATGTATATTTTCTTCCATAACTCGTAAGAGTTCAACATTTAGTGCTGTGGAAGTCAATTCTCTAAAGAAAAGACTAAGTTCAACTAGTACTTTCCAAATTGATTTTGTTAATGAATCAAATGCAATTGGAAGCAATCGTTGCATGAACACATGACAGTCATGACTTTTCATACCATGTAACTTTTCTTGATTCAAGTCGACACATCTACCCAAATTCGAAGCATATCCATCTGGAAAATTAAGTTCTTTAACCCGCTTACAAATAGAGAGTCTTTGGGATTTGGTGAAAACATATGTTGCCTTTAGTTTGATAAGTTTTCCACGTCCAATGTCCTTCAACTCTAGCTCTTTTCGATTACATATTTTAGCTACATCCAATCGAGCCTTGTTTGTATCCTTAGTTTTGTCTTTGATATCCATGACAATGTCAAACACATTCATGAACACATTTCTATCTGTGTACATAACATCAATATTATGACGTAAAAGTTGGGTTTTCTAATAAGGCAACCTTTAAAAAATACTTTGTTTCTTCCAATTATGTGTAATACTATATCCTGTAATAATGTCTACTTGTTGTAATTCATAGCAAACTGGTAAGTTTGCCACCCTATTCCAGACATCAAGACTAGATAAACGTGGAGGAGGGGGACCAGTCTCAATAACCTTCTTCTTGAATGCCTTTTTATTCCTCCTAAATGGATGATCTTGTGAAAGAAATTGACGGTGACAATCAAAATAGGAGATCTTGTGGCTATGACTAAGAGAAAATGTCTTTGTTCTTTCTATACATATAGAACAAGCAAGTCTACCAACAGTCGTCCAACCCGATAACATGCTATAAGTTGGGAAGTCATTAATTGTCCACATCAAAACAACTTTCATCATAAAATTTTGCCTCAATAACACATCATAAGTCAATATCCCTTCATTCCATAAAGTGCATAAATCATCTATAAGTGGTTGCAAGAATACATCAATCTTATGTTTTGGATTTGAAGGACCTGAAATTAAAATTGTCAAAAACATAAATTCTCTCTTCATGCACATGGTAGGTGGAAGATTGTATAGAGTTAGGATAATCGGCCAACAGGAATAACTTTTGTCATACTGACCAAAAGAATTAAATCTATTTGCACATAACCCTAATTTGACATTTCTTGGATCTTGACTAAACTCTGGTTGAACAGTGTCAAAGTGGTTTCAAGCTTCCCCATCCGATGGATGACACATAATACTGGGGTCCTTTTCATTCTCACTATGCCATCTCATGTGAGGTGCAGTAACCATTGAAGAGTATAACCTTTTAAGTCTAGAAATAATTTTGAAAGTACCACATTTTTTTAATAGAAATATTTTTCTCAACTCCCCACTCCCCTCCTAGTGACAATCTTGTATCGATCCATTCTTTATATAAAATAATTAGTTATACTTTTAGATGAATTTTCATTATAATACAACATGCATCCGTTTGGACAACAATCAATTTTGACACAACTCAAACCCAATTTTATCACCGACTTCTTAGCTTGGTCAAAATTCGCAGTCATTCGATGATCTTCTGGCATAGTCTCTCCCATAAATTGGAACATTCTATTAAAACATCCTTCAACCATATTATAATCAGATTTTAATCTTAGAGCTTCCAAAGATGCTGACAATTCAGAGTGATGTGTACATCCTTCGCACAACGGTGCTTGCGCAGCAGCAAGCATGTCAAAGAATTTTGAGTATCAGGATCAGGGTTTTCTGCCATGTCCTCTTCTCTAATTTCACTCTCGGTTTGAAGTTGGTGTCCAAGTGAGAGTCCGACATGATCCATAATCATTTGATGGAAAATACCTAATTTTTCCCTTGGTTGAAAAGTTCCATGTGATCTCTTACAACCACTGCGGGAAATTTCGGCGACTCTTCACCATGGTTTGTCCACCAATAATAATTAGGCATAAATCCCTCTTGATAAAGATCCCATGCAACTTGATCAACAAACTTGAAAACTTTACACTTACATTTAACACAAGGACATCTTAACATTTCACCTTGTTCTTGAAACATAGGTTGAGCAATAATATATTGTAAGAAATGATACACTCCTTCTCTAAATTCATCTGTTAGATGTTTGTTACAATCCAATCTTTGATACATTCACATTTTACCAAAAGGGATCTCCATTCTTACAAATTAACTACAACAATTAATATAAGTAAAATTGCATTATTCACTTTATTAATGTTGTACTCATTTTTCTAATACATTTTTTCTAAGGTATTTATCCAGTACTTATGTAGTACTTATCTAGTTATTTGATGCAGTACTTACAACATTGACATAAATAGTATTAAAGGTTAAACTAATGATGGAAGAAATTAATAAAGCAACAGTAAAAATTCAAAATCAGCTCTCAGTTTGGCTTTTCTGATTAAATTTTACAATTTACAATAGAACAAATGGTTGATCAAATATAAATGGTTCAAATCATAATTCCTTTCTGGTATATTTTTGTTCAAATTCTTGTCTATCGATATTGAAGGGTATGAATTTGGATGAGGAAGAACAACCATCATATGAATCTATTATCATAAAGATGTTGACAGGAGTGGTCAAATTGATCACATGCGTCAGGTATGAAGTTGTTCTAATTAGCTATTGTTCTTTTTGGTTTAGCACTTGCTTTCTCAAGTCTACATGACTTCTTAAAACAAAGATTGAGGCCAAAAATTAATTGCTTTCAATGAGCTGCATTCTAGATATATGGAGAACCCATTTACTTAAAGTGGGATACACATACAGTCATGATAGAAACTCCAGTAAGATGAAACTTAAAAGCAGCATTCTAGATATATGCAGAACCCATTTACTGCCATGGCTTGTAATAGGGCATCAATGAAATGGAAGAGGTCATTATACTATTCAAGTGTCCCTTATTTTTTATAAGCTAAAGAAAATATGTTATTAAGAAAATAAGAGTTAAGTTTAATGCACTACATATTTACACCCACCAAAGCCTTATCTATATCTTTTCTTATAACCATTCATTTTGAGTTGACATTATCATACGATGCAAGCCACCAAATAATTGTGTAAGTAAACCCAATAATTATGCAATTTCCTTTCAATAAGATCCAACAGATAATTAAAACAAATTACAAATGGTTAACCTAAGGGCGTATATTCTCAACAAGTTCTCAAATTGGTTTGTCAAGCACCACCAAATCCGCAGTAAGAGGAATCCAAGAACCTATCTACTTCACAAATCCACCTACAACAAATGATAAAGAAATCCAATAAAATTGTCTCTCCTATACTGTTCACAATGCAAGAGAATAATAGTCTTTAATTATATGACTTTACTATTATCATAAATAGTGCTGAAATTTGGGCAGCACATAAAAGACAACAGTTTTGTCCCCTTTACAAACAGTCTGATATATAATCATAAATAAGGTTTTAAAAAACAATTTTTGGGTTGATAACCACAAAAGTCCAAGCCGCTAGCCACCAATTTCAAACTTCAAACTAAGGCGCCCCACCAAAGAGTCCAACCACACTTAGAAATATGTATAAACAATTAAATTAAAAACAAATAACACCGACCATAGACTAAAATATTCCCAGCGAAAATTTCGCAGCATGACAAAACAAAATGACTTAAGCCGCAAGACCCATGGTCTTAACAGTTCAGACAAAGGGAAAGAAAATAACAAAAGGGACTTTTGATCCCTAACAGTCCCTGTGAAAATCAATATACAGTCCAGATAACAATGAATGAACCAAGAAAATAACAACACCAGAGAATGATATAGTCAAGTAGATGGCACGAAACAAATGACACAAAAACATTAGAACAAACCAAAATAGCATACCCTAATAATTTCAACACCGCAAACCAAGATCCAACTCAAATCAAAATAGTCCCAAGCAAACCCATCAATCAAAGATCTAAGATGACCGAGTCCTGCATCAAACGAATAAACCAGCCATAGCCAACAGAAACAAACCAGTCGACCCCCTCCCAAACATGAACAAAATAGAAACCAAAACTCAACCCCGACAAAATCAGTTCAAAAAGAAAAAATAAATCAACCAAAGAAAGAGGGGACAGGCTCAAGGAAACACCATCGTTGTTAGTCCGAGGCTTCACATCAAATCACTAGCCTGCAGTTTGACTCACGGTGAGGGCGGAGGTAGGCTGAGAGTGGTGCAGCGAGGGAGAAATGGGGTTAGAGAGGCTGGAGAGGGGAGGGTGAGACCGCGGAGCCTAGGGCCAGCTCGCGGTGGTTTGGGGCAAGTGCACGGAGGTACGATTTGAGAAGGGAGGTTAGAGAGGCTGGAGATAGGAGCTCAATGAGGATGAGATGGAGGAGCAGTGGTGATGGGGGTTGTGCCTCGCGGAGCTAGGGGTTTCAATGGTGGTCACGGTGATGGGTGTGGGTTAGTTGAAGAAGATGGAAAGGATGATTGGGGGATAAAGAAAAAGACGCGGTGGGGGTTGGGCCCACAGTGGTGGAAGAGGCGGAGGCGCGGTGGCTGTTAGTTGAAGAAGAAGGTGAGAGGAGAGTGAGGGCGAGGTGGCGAAGGATGGGATCCAAAGGAGAGGAAGGTTGGTTTTGGGGAAAGAGATGGGAAAAGATTGAGAGTGGGGGGCTGGGAAATTTCGGTGAAGGTGGGGGAGAAGAGAGTGAGTGAGAGTGTGGCTGAGGATAGGATCCAGAGGCATCGTCTAGATTTTCTTAGAATGACATGAGAATGGGGATTTTAGTTAATAAAATCAATAAATAATACTAATATTGCTTATTATAATTAATACTATTTCTTAAATTAATAATTTATTAAAACTTTATTATTTAAATAATTTTATAATATAATTAATTTATAATATTATATTAAAATATTATCAGTTCAATAATTAATAGATCAATTAATTAAATAACTAATAAATTAATATTTATTTATTAAACAATTAATATATTAATAACTATAAATTAAATCAATGATAAATCAATATTTATTAATTAAGTGTTAGTTAATATATATTTATTTTTAAATAAAACTATCATAAATTAAGTTTTAACATTAATTTTACATTGGATACACAACAATTATATAGGTTTATAATTTATAACAATATATATATATATATATATATATATATATATATATATATATATATAACTTAAATTTATATTAAATGATCTAGTAAGAAGAAATATTTAGATTAATTTAAATGCAATAATCTTTAAAAAGAAATACATGTGTTGATGGATTATCGGGACTATAATATTAAAAAAAAATTGAGAAATAAAGGGTGAAAGAAATAACACCAAGTTTAATTATTGGACGTAGAATAATATTGTAAATAAAAACTTTAGTTAAGGTGAATGAATAATTAGATTGAATGATGAATGGAAAATTGGATTTAAAGGGTATGAATAAAAATTTACAATGTTTTTAAAATGGAATCAGTAATTAAATATGTGAAGGGTAAAGAGTAGAAGAATTTAACATGCTACGATCGAATTAAATATAATAATATTTTTATAAATATTATAATAATAAAATCAATTTAACCTAAAATTTGAACTAATTTTTTTATTTTATCTCAATTTAATTAAAATTTAATTATTTAAAAGTAATAATTTTTTATTTTGTTTTACTGTTTCTTAATAAATCAGTTCGTTGGATTTTTCAAAGTGCAAAAATTTTGGTTGAGTTAAAGATTTGCTCAATAAAAAATTGTATTGATAATATATAGATTGAAGTATAAATATAAATATAAATTAGGGTCAAAAGACAAAATTAAGGGTAGATAATAAACATTCTCTTTAAAATTTAAAATATTATTATTATTAATTTATTGTCCATAATTTTATTTTCATTGAATTTATTTTAAACTTTAATAGTTTACTGAGATGCATAATAAATTTAATTTTAAACGTCTTTCAAACATATACAATTATTATCATAAGTCAACGCTATTATGAAATATTAATATATATATTTGGTTATATATATATATATATATATATATATATATATATATATATATATATATATATATATATATATAAACTAAGAATCGTTATATTTTAAAAATATATAAACATTTAGAATAATTATTTTAAACAAATACAAAATTAGTTCAATAATTATTTTTTCAATTTTAATGTTTTTATTTATTAGTCTATAAAAACTAAAAAAAAATATAATGTGCTTTTTATTTTTATCTTCTATTTTTATAAACAATATTTGTATATTACTAATTAAATTATATTATTGTTATCCTAAAAAGTTATCAAATTTTATAAGTGTCCTTGTCATTAATATTATGTCTTTTATTCAAAATGATTTATTAATTTAAAGTTATAAAAAATTATTTATTTAAAAAATAAGATTAATTATTAAAACTGTTTTTAAAAACTAAATTAAATCAAAATACTTCTAACGAACTTTTTTTATTTTTATTACATCAAATTTTTTATTTTCATTTTTATGCTTTTTTTTTATATTTATGTAAGTAGAAATTATTAAACGATTTAAAATATTTTTATTTGTTTACTTTTTGCATGATTTCACTTTTATATATAATACATTGCTATGTTAAAATATTTTCGAGAGTTGAGATATTTAAACTAAAATATTACTTATTTTAAACAATTTTAAAAAAATCATCTTCTCGTGATAGAATAAGATGGTTAGATTAATTATCTCCTATTCACCTTATTCCTTTTTTTAAATAAGAGAATATATATATATATATATATATATATATATATATATATATATATATATATATATATCAATTATAGTTAATCTCTCTTAAACAATCAAACTATTAAATTTATTAAGATTTAATAATATATTTTAAAAATATTATTTTACTATTTTCAACAATAAATCTAAATATTTTATTAATCTAATAAATATATAAATCTTTTTAAAACCATAATTTAAAACTATAAATTTTAAATAAAACATTATAACATATTTTATATATATATATATATATATATATATAGTTTTATTTAATATATATTTGAAAAACTAATTGATTAGTTTTTTAGTTTTTTAAATAATCTATTAGAATCGATTAATTTTTTAAATATACATTAAATAATTACAAATAAAAATATATATCAAATTAAAATTAAAAAAATAATTATTTATAAAATATATATATTATATAAATTATAATTATAAAATAAAAAAATTATATTTAGAATTATAACCTTAAAAAAATTATAATTATGAAATTAATAAAAATATAACTATTTTTAATATTAAAGAAATGATATATATTATATAAATTATAATTATATATATATATATATATATATATATTACACAAATTAAAATTACATATATAAACTTTAAATTAATTATATATATATATATATATTGCATAAATTAAAATAATAATTATCAACTTAAAAATAAATTATATTTAAAATTATAATATATATATATATATATATATTTCAAAATATAACTTATTTTTATTTCTAAAATATAATATATATATATATATATATATATATATATATATATATTCCAAAATATTACAAAACACAAGAAAAAACATTTCAAAAACATAATTTTGCATAAAAATATTATATCATGTTACATACATATAATTTTTAAGACTTTTATTATCCTCCTAATATATTATTAATTTCTAAAAAAAAATATTACAATATAAAATAAATAAAAGAATTAAAAAAAATTAACAATACAAAAAATATATAAATATAATATTTAATAATATATTTTAAAAGTATTATTTTACTTCTTTCAACAATAAATCTAAATTTATTATTAATTTAAGAAATATATAAATCTTTTTAAAATTATAATTAAAACTATAAATTTTAAATAAACATTAATATATATATATATATATATATATATATATATATATTATATTATAGTTAGTTTTTCTTTCTTAACAAAATAAACAAAAAAAACTAATTCAGAATTCAGTTATCAGAAAATCGAATTTTAAATGGTTTGAAAGAAAAATAAAAGGATTCAAGTTTCGTGTATGGGGAAATCAAATTCGTAGCTTAAAATAATTGTACTATGTAGATAAATAAAATCTATAGTATGTTATTTGGGTAATTAAAAAACAAATATGTGTCACGATAGAAAAAATTTTGTATACTTAAAGTAAAAAATATTTCAACTAAAATAATTATATTTTTATAAATAATTTAATAACATAATAAATTTATTATCTAATGTATATCAATTATATTTTGATATAAATTTTTTCTCGGTATATCAATTATATGAAAACAACCATGGTTAAGCAATTAATAATAATAAAGCAATAAATTTAAAAATTATATTAAAAATAAAGTATTATAAAATAAAATTGTAATAATTTGATGGAAATTGTAATTTTTTTAATTAATTAAGTTAATGAGGAATTAAAATATGATAATTTGGTGTGTTCAATTTTTTTAATATCAATTTTTAAAATATAATTTAATTTCATTGAAAAATATATTAAAGAATATTTGTTATTAAACTTTTCTTAAATATTATATTAAATAGTTAATATCACTCTAATCTTAATTTATTATAATTTAATTTTTTTTATTTTTAATAATATTTTTATTTTAGTAATTTAAAATTAAAGTTAATATTCATTTTGTTAACATTGATACCAAAGTTTATTTTTAAAGTATATTTAAAAAAAATACTTTTAAAAAATAAATTGTAAAAAATATATTAAAACAATTAAAGTATATTTATAAAAAAATAAATTTAAATATAATAAAAAAATTATGTCCATTAGCGACCGATTTTAATTCGGTCGTTATTTTCTCATTAACGACGAATTTCAATTGGTTACTATTTCAATTTGTAATTCGGTCGCTAAATCAATCGCTAAATGATTTTCTTTATTTTAGTACGGAATAGCCACCGGTTTAACGATCGAAATTTTGCGATGCAAATTATTGGTCGCTATTTCGGTCGCTAAATAAAAAAGTGAAATAAATCATATTTCGGTGGCAAAATCGATCGTTAAATTGCGACCGAATTAAATCAATCACTAAATCGGTCGCTAATTACGACCGAAAAAATTCAATCGCTAATTTCGGTCGCTAAAAATATTTTTTCTAATAGTGTGAATTTGAGTTATTTGTAACTATCTCGTATAGGAATGAGGGTGTCCTGACTCCAAGTTCGTTATGATAATATCATTATGATCAATTATCATGTTTGAGATATTATCTGTTTTAGAGTTTTTATTTGTTATAATTTTATCTTTAGAAGACGTCTCAGTAAGTTGAGAGAAGAAAATATATATAAATTATCCTTGATCTTGACTCTTAAATAGTGTGAGACTCAAGTAAAGATATGAAATGTAACCAAATTGCATGTTTTTTTTTATCTATGAAAGGCTTCTAGTTTTTTTTTTTATTGTTGAAAGTCTCACATCGCCTACTTCATATCATTTGATATGGTTTAAATACATGTTAGGCTACTCCACATATTGCCAATTGGTTTTATGTTGGAACCTTAACATGTTATCAGAGCCAAAGCCTAACATCTTTCCGGTTATTATCATGGGCCAAAAGTTGCCCTTTAGTTAGGTCAAAAGTACCCTTTGCCTGGTCCGACGAGCTTCGTTGGAGGGGTGTGTTGAAAGTCCCACATCGCCTACCTCATATTATTTGGTATGGTTTAAATACATGTTAGACTACTCCACATATTGTCAATTGGTTTTATGTTGGAATCTTAACATTTATCAACATTTATAATATTTATTTTTTGGTTAACATTCTTCTGATTAATTTTTTTTTTATGTTTCGAACAACATTAATTAGGGTTTGCTCAAATAATAATAATGAGACTATTTTTCAAGAAATGTCAATTAGATTTTGTGAGGTTATATCTTTCATGTTTATTATTTTTTCTAATGTCAATGAAATTTTTTGGCTAAGAATGACTAGGTTTGTGTTTCAATCATCATCCATCAATAATTCAAGAAAAATACATTGACCAGACCAAAAATGTCAAAAAATTAACTTTAATTGATGTTAGCCAAAATAATTATAATCAACATCAATTTAAAAATCATCATTCAATCGCAGTTGAAGAAAAAAAAACTAAACTTGAAAATCTTATAAACTTTGACAAAAAAAAACTTGATCAACATATTAGTTGAAAAACATCACCATCGATATTTTTGAGTTATGAAATACTATTTAATATTAAGATAAAATTTTGCATTTAATGATAATTAAAATGCTTTATATAAAAAAATTAAAATTCTCTAATCTAATTTATTATTGTCAAATGTAGCATATTTTCTTCTTTCTTTTTCTATTGTGACTTTATGGATTTTTCTGGTTGTTTCTCCTTGACCTTAGGTTTCTTTAGTTGTTTATCCTCTATCTTTAGTTCCTCTAGACGTTAATAATAACAATCTAATAGAGACATTCATATTTTACTGTGATTAGATTCTAAAAAATAACTACAATTTCAACTTTAGAGTCATAAAGTACTAATCTCAATCACATAGTAGATGTCCCAATGTTTTAATTCAATTAGGGAAAAATGTTCAAAGCACCAACAAGTCACAATGATGGTGTCATTGTTGCTCACCATGACAACAAATGTCTAAGAAGCCCATGTAATGGTCGAAGTTGTAGTTACTATAAAAAAAAATGCATGTGAGCAATGAAGATGAATAGTTGAAAGAGATATAAAACAAATTTTAAGTTGAACCATGTGAAGTCTAAGGCAAAAGAGTTGGTTTTAATTTTAAAAATACTAACATATTTTTTGTTACATGGAATAATAACTAAATTTGATGAGAAAAAAATGGTGTAAAAAGCACATTTTACATTTAATGGTTTCTCTACTTTATAATAATCACCTAAGTCTTAATCATTTCTAATTTGATTGATGATGCACTTTAATTTATTTTCATAATTTTAATAAAATTGTAAAATGTTAGGAATATATGATTTATTATCTTTTATTAGGTATTAAAAGATTTTATTATCTTTTAAGAGAAGAAAATATTACATTATTATATTCATTTAGGTAGTTATGATTGAAGTATGGTTAATATTTGATATTTTGTTACATTTTTACTCTATATATAAATAGAGTAGATATAGTACATGAATAAAAATATGACATATATTTCATATATTAGAAATACACATACACTATGACCCTAAAATTTTTTAATAATGGTATCAAGTTTTGATTCTTACAAGGAGAATGTAAGGAGAACAAAAGTGTTCGTTCTTTCGAAGGGATTAACTAAGGAGAACATAATATTAATGAGATATGAGTCTAACTCACATAAGGAATTAATATCACTTTCAACCAAAAATCTTAAGACATTGGGTTATGGGTCATATTTTCTTATACGTTACTCAACTTTCTTATTCTTAATCAATGTCGGATTTAGACTCACACTTGGATTTTCTAACACAAATAGTTTTGTGAAACAAAGTAGTTTCTCACAAGTGGTTGTTCCATTTTGATTGTGTAAATTATAACTTATGAGCTGTGAGAATGCAATCCTATCTTGAATGATTGAATTTATGGGAAGTTGTGGAAGATGATTACATCATTGATCCGCTACATCTCACCATAACCCAAATCAAAATCTACAAAGAAAGAAAAAGGAAGAAGGCAAAAGAAAAATCATGTTTATATGCAAGTATTTCACAAATGATTATCACCAGAATCATAACCTAGAGTCATCCTAAGAATCTTAGGATTATTTACAAAAAGAACATGAAGTACTCCTGAAGAGACAAAAAAGTTTTAAAAGAGAAACCCTAACAATCAATCAGGCCAACATCGAAAACGAGACTTCGAGAAACAATAATTGCTTAGGAAAGAATTGTTAAAGATGCAAGAAGTGCTACAACAGACGCGTCTTGAGAAGGAAAGAAACGATTTTGAAGGTCAAAGACGAGGTTCTTAAACAAAAGGATGAACAGCTTGAGAAACGTGATCATGAACTCTATAAGCTTGAGAAATATTATGCTAAGAAAAAAGTTTGTGGTCTTGAACTCTAGAAGCTTAAGAAATATTATGCTAAGAAAAAAATTTTATTTGTATGTGATTGCAAAGGAAAAACATGCAATAACAAAATTGAATGAAGTGATGATCACATATAAAAAAGATAATGACAAGAACTATAAGTAAAATAGGAGGAAGAATATCAAATTCAAATAAAGAGGAGAATGTCGAAAATATATGTTTTATTATCTTTTATTAGGTATTAAAAGATTTTATTATCTTTTAATAAAATAAGATATTATGTTATTGTTTTGATTTAGGTAATTACAGTTGATATATGATTAATATTTGATATTTTATCACAGTTTTACATTTTTACTTTATATATAGATAGAGTACATAAATAAAATATATATCTATACAAAATATATTTCATTTATCAGACATACACATATACAAAATTCTACAAATTTTCTAACATAAAAAAAATTGACAATTTTTTACACTTGATTGAAAAATAAAAAATTGAACATGTTTTCAAATAAATAAATAAATCAAATTTAATAACAATTATGCATTGTTTGACTTGTAAACAAACCGTAATCCAGCTTCTAGGTTCTTTCACGTTGGAAAACTTCTTACAGTCAAGTTCCGCGTGAGAGACTAACATCCTTCTCATTAAAACGTGTTTTCTAGGAGAAATTTGTGCACAGTATACGTCTCTACAAACTTATCAATTTTGATTTGACACCAGTAAAAATTGACTGAAAGTTTAGAAAATTGATGCCTGGATTATTGTTCTATTGGTCCACCACTAGAACCAATCACAAACTATGATTCATCTCAACTTCTGACCACATTTAATCACAAACGAGAGAAGTAGTTTGAGACTGTGTTGACACAGGCCTTGTGTAAATCATTCAGGATATAACAGGCAATAATAGTTGCAATTCAAGATAATAAAACTATAACAGACTTTTAGTAAGATTAACAGTGAACTCTCAGAAGAAAACAAAACGTAAATACGTGAGAAATCCATGGGAAATTTCTAAATATAAATTATCATAAATATGTGTGGTTTTGTTTCCAAGTTGCAATGCTATCGTTGACCTTGACCAAATGTAGTCTTCTGTATATGTTCTTGCTTTATCAAACTCATATTTTTCTTTTAACATATATAACTATGTGGTTGCAAAAACAACAACTCATGCAAAGATCACAATGACAAGAAGTTAATTTTGTTTACCAGAATGACATGCTGCATATCGGCAGATCGGCACAACCGCACAACAAATGCGCATAGTTACTGCAATCATACCTTGTTCAAACTACAGTTAGTTAGTTAGTTACAGTATGCTTGGTGGGGGTAGCAGAAGCAGCACAAGACTTGGACAATCATCACGTTCATGTCCACCCAGAATGGTTAAAATTTCAGCTGAGCCTTCTTCTATCTCTTTCTCTTCTGTAGCACCTCTTAAAAGACACGATGTTTTCATAAGTTTTAGAGGTGAGGACACGCGCAACAGCTTCACAAGCCATCTCTATGCTGCCTTTCAGCATAACAAGATCCAAGCCTTCATTGATAACAGGCTTCACAAAGGGGATGAGATCTCTCCCTCTATTTTTGAAGCCATCAAACACTCAAACCTTTCTGTGGTTGTTCTCTCAAAGTACTATGCTTCCTCCACATGGTGCTTGCGTGAACTCGTCAAAATACTTGAACTCAAGAAACGTGGTGGACACATTGTGATACCTGTGTTCTATAAGATTGACCCTTCCCATGTAAGGAAGCAGACAGGAACTTATGGGATGGCGTTAGAAAAATATAAAAGAGATGTTAAGCACAACATGGCCTTGTTACAGAAATGGAAAGCTGCTCTCAGTGAAGTGGCCGATATAGCTGGATGGGAATTAAAGAATTTTAGGTAACAAATATTTTTTTTCTTTTGGAAATCCCCTCTCATTTTCTTGCTTGAAAGATAAGTGATTAAGTTTATATAGTGAGAGTTTCTGTGCTACCCAGACAAATCACAAGTGTATGAGTTTGGATAAATAGAGGGAGAAAGAGTTTTCAGTAACAGTAGCGAAGTCCTTAAATTTTTGGAAGGTATTGTAGAATTTCACATATCACAAGTCAAATCAACATCATGTGAAGATGAATTACATTTTTTTACTTCTAAAAATACTATTAAACACTTGTTTATTTACTTTAAGGCATGTTAGTATTGTTAGTATTATGGTGCTTGATTTAGTCCCACATCGATTAGGATTGTGAGATGAGATTCTCTATTTTGTTATATAAGCAACCCTATGTAAAGTTTGAGATACACACAGAAATAAAAATACTTCCTAGTGTAGTCGTGGACGTAGGCATACATATTTTAGCCGAACCACGTTAAAATTCTTGTGTCGTTTATTTTTCTCTCCTTTATTCTTTCCTTTATTATTGTCTTGTTCCTAACAATTGGTATCGAGCCAATTTTCTTAGTATGCTCGTGGTTGCGGCTTTGTTCGATCTTCCACATCGAGAAAGATTTGGTCTTTTTTCTTGGGAATCTTAGTTTAGAGAAGCGGTGGGAGCTTTCTTCGAAAGCGGTGAGAGCAATGGCATTAGAAGAAGGAAAGGTGAGGATCGAGAAGTTCGATGGCGGTGACTTCGGGTTCGGAAGATGCGAGATGGAAGATTATCCGTATCGAAGAAGTTGTATCTACCCTTGACAGGCGAAGCCAACCGACATGGAGCGATCAGAATGGGAGTTGTTAGATCGGCAGACGCTTGGTGTGATCCGGTCGACATTAGCTAAGAATGTTGCGTTCAACATCATGAACGAGAAGACAACCGTAGATTTGATGCGAGCGTTGTCAAATATGTATGAGAAGCCCTCTGCGACCAATAAAGTGCATTTGATTCGCAGGCTAGTCAACCTCAAAATGGGTGAAGGTAACTCGGTTACTAATCATATTAGTGAATTTAATGCAATTATTGCGCAGTTGACATCGGTGCGAGATAATATTTGATGATGAGGTGAAAGCATTAATTTTATTATCATCTCTACTTGGAAAGTTGGGGTGCAAGCTATTCGCTACGATGAAGTAATTCGCAAGCAATAACAAGTTGAAGCTTGATAACATCCGTGACTTGATCTTAAGCGAAGATGTTCGCGGAAAAATTCGATAGAATCTTTCGGTTCTAATTCAGGTTCGACATTGAGTACTCGAAACTAGAGGAAGAAGTCGCCGAGAAAGGTCGTAATCAAGGCCGAGGCAGATCAAAATCCGAGAGGGAGATCACAAGCAAAAGTCCGGAATGATATCACTTGTTGGAATTGTCGAGAAAAAGGGCCACTTTTCAAATCGAGTGTAGGGCTCCAAAGAAGGACAACAACAACAACAAGAAGCAAGATGATGATCAATCAGCAAATGCGACAATCGATGAAGTTGAAGATGCACTTGTTATGTAGTTTAGATAATTCTATTGACTCATGGATTATGGACTCAGGTGCGTCATTTCATACTACACCTTCCTTAGAACTATTATCTAACTATGTTTCGGAAAGTTTGGGAAGGTCTACCTTGCGGATGGAAAATCTCTTGATATCATAGGAAGAGGTGATATTAACATCGGAACCTCTAATGGAAATGTGTGGACTTTGAATAATGTCGGACATATTCCAACCTTAAAGAGAAACTTAATATCTATAGGACAGTTGGATGATGAGGGACATTACACCACTTTTGGAGATGGACATTGGAAGGTAATGAAAGGTAATCTTGTTGTTGCTCGTGGAAAGAAGCAAGGATCTCTCTACATGATTGCGAGATGAGGATATGATATCGATTGCAGAAGTTGGCAACAATTCCTCCTTATGGCATCGGAGACTTGGGCATATGAGTGAGAAAGGAATGAAGCTCATGATATCAAAAGGTAAAATACCTAACGTGAAGCATGTTGACGTTGGACCTTGCGAACATTGTATCTTTGGAAAGCGAGAAAAGGTTAGCTTCTCCAAAACAAGTAAGTCGTCTAAAGTTGAAAGACTAGAACTAGTGCATACGAGATGTTTGGGGGCTAGCTTCGGTGAAATCCCTTGGAGGTTCACAATATTATGTAACCTTCATTGATGACTCTACAAGAAAGGTATGGGTTTATTTTCTTAAAAATAAATCGATGTGTTTTACGTGTTTAAAAGGTGGAAAAAGGAGGTTGAGACTCAAACAGGTTTAAAGGTCAAATGTTTGAAGTCCGACAATGGTGGAGAATATGACGGTAGTCAATTCAAGGAGTTTTGTTCGAGAGAATGGGATCAGAATGATCAAGACAGTTCCGGGAACACCGGAACAAAACGGTGTGGCGAAAGAATGAACGAGAACCTTGAATGAGAGAGCAAGATGTATGAGAATCTAGTCGGGATTACCCAAGGTATTTTGGGCGGATGCAATAAGCACAGCAACCTATCTCATAAACGAGAGGACCATCGGTTCCTTTAGACTATAAGTTACACGAAGAAGTATGGTCCGGAAAAGAGGTAAATCTTTCACATCCGAAAGTTTTTGGTTGTGCTTCATATGTTATGTTAGACTCTAATAGTAGAGATAAATTGGACCCTAAGGCAAAACGTTGTTATTTCATTGGTTATGGATCTGACATGTTTGGCTACGAGGTTTTGGGATGACCAAAACAAGAAAATTATCGAAGTAGAAATGTTACTTTTAATGAAAACATGTTCTATAGAGACGAGATTGCGAGAATCCGCAAATGTAAATAAACGACTAGAGCAAGTATCATTAGAAGAAATTTCGAGAAAGTGATGTAGTCAACCGAAGGCGGAATATACAAGTAGAGCCTATGTCGAGCATCGAGACGAAACTGAACAAATAGTAGAGTCAGCAACTCCCGAAATCTTGGTTAGAAGATCTAGCGGAACAATTGTAGCACCACAAAGGTATTCCCCTTCATTGCATTATTTGTTGTTGGCTGATCGTTGGTGAGCCGAGCATTTGCTTGAGGCTATGCGGGGAGATGAATCTATTAAGTGGGAGCTAGCAATGGAAGATGAGATAAAGTCCCTTCGAGAAGAATAAAACATGGTCTTTAACCAAGCTACCGGAAGGAAAAAAAGTTTTGCAAAACGGGTGGGTCTATAGGTTGAAAGAAGAACCGGATGGCGGCAAAAGATATAAGGCTAGACTCGTAGTGAAAGGGTTCCAACAAAGACAAGGAATTGACTTCACAGAAATTTTCTCTCTGTTGTCAAGATGACTACCATCGAGTTATCTTGAGTATAGTAGGCTGTAGAAAATCTTCATTTGGAGCGAGTTAGATGTCAAACTGCATTCTTACATGGGGATCTTGAAGAGGAAATTTTTATGACACAGACCAAAAGGTTTTGAAGTACAAGGCGGAGAAAATCTTGTATGCAAGCTTCATAAAAGTTTGTACGGATTAAAACAAGCGCCGAGACAATGGTACAAGAAGTTTAATGAGTTTATGAGAAACTCGGGATTTCGCGAGATGTGAAGAAGATCACTGTTGTTATGTGAAGAAATATGTTGATAGCTATATCATTCTTGCCTTATATGTTGACGACATGTTGATTGTTGGAGCTAATATGGCAGAAATTGACAAGTTGAAGAAACAATTGTCGGAGAGCTTTGAAATGAAGGATCTTGGTCCAGCCAAGCAAATTCTTGGTATGAGAATCTCCCGAGATAGAGATAAAGGTATTTTGAACTTATCTCAAGAAAAATATATAGAAAAATTGCTTAGCAGATTCAATGTTGGGAATGCTAAAACCAGGAATACACCTTTGGGAACTCACTTAAAGTTTTCAAAGAGGCAATCTTCTCAAACAGAAGAAGAAGAAAGTCACATGTCTAAAGTGCCATATGCATCTGCAGTAGGAAGCTTGATGTATGCTATGGTTTGCACCGGACCGGACATAGCACATGCGAGTGGGAGTTGTGAGCAGATTTCTATCAAATCCCGGAAAGGAGCATTGGGAAGGAGTGAAGTGGATATTCGAGATATTTGAAAGGCACTTCAAAGATGCATTTGTCTTTCAAGAGAAGTAATCTCATTTTACGGGGGTTTTCGATGCGGACTTGGGAGGTGATCTTGACGGTAGAAAGAGCACAACGAGGTTATATTTTTACATTGGGTGGTACAACTATCGGTTGGAAGTCTAAACTTCAAGGAAGGGTCTCTCTCTCAACCATCGAAGCGAGTATGTAGCTATCTCGAAGCGGCGAAGGAGATGATATGGTTGAAGAACCTTCTAAAAGAATTAGGAAGAGAACAAGATGGTTCTCCGTTGTTTAGTGACGATCAAAGTGCTATGTGTCTTGCTAAAAATCCAATCCTTCATTCCGAGATGTAAGCACATTGAATTGAAGTATCATTTTATCGAAACCCGATAAATGATGGAGACTTGAGTTTGTTGAAGATTCCAGGTGCGAGAGAATCCCGCTGATATGTTGACCAAGAGCTGTTACAACAACTAAGTTGAAGCTTTGCATTGCCTCAACTGGCCTTCGAGCAAATTGATGATGAAGGCACTACACTAGGTGGTAACGTAAATCAAACTCCAAGTGGGAGAATTGTTAGTATTATGGTGCTTGATTTAGTCCCACATCGATTAGGATTGTGAGATGAGATTCTCTATTTTGTTATATAAGCAACCCTATGTAAAGTTTGAGATACACACAGAAATAAAAATACTTCCTAGTGTAGTCGTGGACGTAGGCATACATATTTTAGCCGAACTGTTAGGAACAAGACAATAATAAAGGAAAGAATAAAGGAGAGAAAAATAAACGACACAAGAATTTTAACGTGGTTTGGCTAAAATATGTATGCCTACGTCCACGACTACACTAGGAAGTATTTTTATTTCTGTGTATATCTCAAACTTTACATAGGGTTGCTTATA